TGTAACCTGTTTCTTTGCAGACCATAAATCGTCTGATTTAAACTCGCAACGACTCAAAAATTGTATTTTCCATTTTATACAAATACACGGCTTATTTTCATACATTTCATGGTTTATACAGATTTTTAAAAAGTTTGTTACAGAAGTTTCCCGAATGCAAAGCGAAATTTTATTGCTACTCGCTGCTCCGTGACGTCCTCCAACGTCATTGTTTTTTGCCCTTTTTAATCAAGTCCGTATGTATTTAGAAACTGATATCCTTTAAACAGAACAATATTTTACACTACCTGATAGCATCTTAAGTAACACAACAGGACTGAATTTAAACATGTAAATTTTATTTTGTTTCAGCTCCATTTAATTGAGTTCTGGCATAAGAAACTATGAAGTAAGAATTAGTAAATTACTCAGTTTGGACGTTGCTCCATGACCCCATTTTTGTCGTTCTAAATCCTTGATAATTTGTATAAATATGAAGATATATTCCAATTTTTCAACTCAAATTATTCGAATTTGTTGTTAAAATATGTGTACAAAATTTGGATATAATGTGACGTTAAATAAAAAAGTGAGGACAAAAGTCTATGAACTTTTTAAATGACCCTCGTACATGTAGAAAATGAAGGGGCTAAGACTAAAGAAATCGTACAAAATATTCATTTCTGGAAAATCAATATTTATTGATAAACAAAGTAGGATAATCTAAAATTAGATAAACATTATAAAGAAACACAAACAAAATTAAATAAGTTACCAAACTTATTTAAATTTTTTTTTTAAAAAAAGAGGAAAAAACATACATATTCTTCCCACCTCGTGCAAGAGGAAATGAATCAACTGAAGAGACGACGGCTTCAGATCTTGATTGTTGAAATCCCATAGTTCAGGGATAAAATGATGGAAAATCACGAGCAGACATTTATAGTTTACTGTTAATATCTATTATACTCCTATACTATTCCCTGACGTAGAGAGAACTGTCTTATTTAATAGCCCCAGCTATTTGTCATATTTCGCCTCGCCAACAAAATATCTATTGTTATTGAAGCCAATTTTAGGGAGAAAAGAAGACAATCCCCTGACTTATGACTTATCACGGGTTAGCACGCAGTAACTGCAGGTCTATCAGGAATATCCAGTTATTTCGTTTCAGAAAATTAGGACTGGGTGCAGGTACATGTAGACTACGTTCCAAATTTTACAAAAACAATTATCGATGGAGTTGATACCATATAAATATTGTTTCTCTATCAGAAAAATTTCAGATTCCTCGCTTTTAAGTCGGACCTAGATTTCAAAAACTCAAATCCCAGTAATTCGACTTATAGGTTAGCATATATACGGTACTTATTGAAAAATGATAAGAAATGTGGTATTGTCCCTTTATATCAGAGGATCGGGTGGGATGTGATTGCTACTTCATATTTTACTTCATTATTTTTATTTCATTACTTTTATTTGATGAAGTCCAAATTTCCTCCGTATATGAAATATAATGATACAGCTGTTTAGATATTTAAACACAAAATGATCCAAGTGCACACTAACTTCTTGACTTTTTTTTCAATTATATGTTGGCTGTTACTTATTAATTGAAAGTTATTTTGCCATATAAATCAAAAAGAGGAAACGGTATTCCTTACATGGTAACTATAGCTTTACTTTGATATATATTGCTCAAAATATCTATTATACTTCGATCGTTTATAGACCCCTTCCCTAATTTGAAATAGGAAAGCTTATTTCTGACGAAGCGATGATTCTCGGCGCTTTCGGCGATTTGTGCTGACATTCCAGATACCATGTTTGGTCTCTATAATGATCTTACACAAATCAATTGCAAATCTTCTTGCCATTATAACACCAAATATCTTAACGGAGAGAAGAAAAAAGATAATATCTTCATGCATACATATATATAGCTCAGAGGAAGATTCAGTCTCGATGAGTGATCAAGAGGGCAGATGGAGCTCTCAATAGAATGAAATATTTCATGAAAGATTAAGGTTTTCCAACATCCTAACACAAAGCATGAACGTGTGCTCGCCCTTATATGTCTTACCCTTTATAATAAAAGCATTAGTCTTTTGCATGAAATATTCATGTACAAACTGTAAATAGTGTAAAAGAACAATGAATATTTTTCTTTACTTTCTCGACATGATTTGCAATATTTTCTTTTGTTCAGTTGAAAACTCGAGAAATTAAGATAATAATAATAATAAAAAAAATACATGAAATAAGAAGAAAATATGTAAATGGAAAAAAGCTTAATAATTAGAAAACAAAATTGAAATACAAATTTTACTTATGCAATTATACTGACAAATGAATTTATTTTGTTTTCCAAAAGAATTCCTATTTCCCATGAGACCTCTATCCTTCTCTGTCACTGCCTAATTCATGGAGTAATAAGCAGTATTGATATTTTGTTAATTAGCGTAATGAACAAAGCGTAGAAATCTCCATCGCAAAAGATAGCAGAGGTGCAACGTGCTGATCAGTCAACCTAGGCATACCAAAGACAAACTTCAGAAGCCTCCCTAAACACCTAGCAGTCACACCGTCATCTGGTAATGGCGAACAAATTGAAGACAAAGCATTGGATTATTAATGTAAACATTTATAAAGCAAACCATCGATGTCGACTCTGGTACCTTGAAAGGTGAGGGTAGCCGCCAAATGATGTTATGGATAACAATTGATGTTAATTCTTTCAGAGCTGGCGATCAATAGTTGGAGGAAAATATAAACAATGGATATTTCGGTTTCATTCGCCTATCGATCTCAGAGTTGGAGCGATCATTTATAAAATAATGTAGGATTGCATGGATTCGTTAAGAAATATAGTCACACTGGATGGAGAATGGATGCAAGAGATTCAATATAATATACCCTAATGGACCGAACGATTTATTGAGTTGATGCAACAGTAGATATAATTATGCTAAATCAAGAAATCTGAGTCCAATGAATTCAGTTTTCCGTGGAATACTACACAAATCAGTGATCAACAGTAAAAAAGAATATTTATATAACACCGAACGCATCGCAAAAAATTCAATATCTGTCGTACGGCTGGGAAGCTTTCAGATAGTAATATTACACTACAATTAATTCTTCCCCTGCTCAGTATCAAAAAACTTACATGGATATTATATGCCTAAACAAAAGATGGATGTGCAAAGTATTTCTGTAATGGGAATTAGAGTACAGTTTACCAGTGCTGCTTTAATGAGGGATAATACACATTACTAACGCACGCAGATTTGGGAGATGAGTCTAGTCGAGAATCCAGGTATACCCCTTGTTGGGTTAAATGGAAAACTTAAAAAATATAAGACGTTGGAAAATGAAACGGTGGATGCACCGCCGGGTAGATTCGAGACGGTGGGTAGCAGATTGGCCAGAAGAAAGGAACTTTTTGTAAAGAGAAAGCGGTCTAGTGATGTCGCGTTAATTTTTGCGCTGGTGGGTATTCTTTTAATGGTGGTTCAGACAGAGCTAACGGCAGCTAAAGTGTACCCCCGATCCTCCTTACCATCGCACTTAATGAAGATGGCTATCACAGCTTCCACGGTGGCATTGCTCATTTTTCTAGGTATATATCATCGTCTAGATATTCAATTATTTATTGTAAATAATAGTGTTGATGATTGGAGAATTGCAATGACTGCTAGAAGGATAACTCAGATGACAGTGGAATTCATTGTGTGCTCGATTCACCCTATCCCTGGAAATTTCTACACCACTTGGCCTGCTACGGTCGCAGAGGGGGAACGCCACAGAAGTCTAAGAGTTCCCTTGGATACTATACTCGCTTTGCCAATGTTTCTACGACTTTTTCTAGTATGTCGTTTTATCATGTTACATAGCAAACTGTATGAAGACGCCTCGTCACAAAGTCTTGGGGCTCTTAATCGGATCCACTTCAATTTCAGATTCATTTTTAAATCTTTAATGACAATGCACCCTGACTATGTGTTGACTGTCATTATGATTGTATCGTTTTTGATCGCAAGTTGGGCACTACGTATGTGTGAAATGAGCGACAGTTCTGACGAATCTGTTCATTCGAATTTCCTCAATACGATGTGGTTAGTAGCTATTACATTTCTTTCTGTGGGATACGGGGATATTAAACCCAGTACATATTGCGGCAGGGGGATAACCGTTATAACGGGGATGATGGGAGCTGGTTGTACAGCCCTGGTTGTCGCGGTATTAGCCAGAAAATTAGAGCTGAGCCGCAGTGAGAAATACGTTCATGATTTTGTCCTTGATGTTGACCTTGATAAAAGACTCAAACATGAAGCTGCAAACGTCATGAAATCAGGGTGGTTTATTTACAAATTTCGAAAAGTGAAAGTGAACACATCTAAAGCTCTTAAATACCAGACAAAGCTGCTGGAAGCTATTTATAACATTCGCCAAATCAAAGCTGCACAACGACGCTTACTGGACGCCTCCGTCACTCTGACTGAAATGAACAAATCCCAAAACGAGACAAGCAGGTCAGTGGAGCTTATTCGATGTAAGCAACTTACTTTGGAGGAAAAGGTGGATAACATAGAGTCCAAAATCATGTCTCTCCACGACAAGTTAAACTTCATCCACAAAGCGTTGAGGGAATAAGTATACGGAGTCTAGTATTTCTCTTCTTAGTCCATTAAACGTTTCTTCGTAAATCACAGAACGTTAGATTATTGCACCTGTCTTTTATGTATACTAACTTAGACCAAACAATAGAAACTATCAATTGCTAGTAAATCCATTAGGTTGCGTTAAAGATAATGGTATGTGGGTAAACATTTATGTATTAAACTTCCTTTCAGGTATTTGATATTATTTTCTGTTTAGCTTGGAATACGGTGAATAAAACTAGTACTTTCATAATGTTGAAATAAATATTCGATGGTTAGATAACTTTTTTTTTCAAATAAAACCTTTTTTCCACTTAATATTTTAGTCGTTGCTTTCACTCATAAAACAACGAACGCTCTTGATTTATCAGTTTTATTGAAAAATTACGCTGCACAAATATTCAGATGACCTGGTAGATGTATAATCTTACTCGTAGTAAACTACATCATATCTGAGTCAGGAACATGCTGTTTATGACTTATTTTTATGCCACATCCTATAATAATTTCCCATTTTCTTCTTCTTTGTCTTTATAATCTATTTCGACGCTTTCATATACTGGATGTTTTTCACTACAAATAGAAGAAGAATACAAGATATAAGTATTTCATTCAAAAATCAAAATATTCTTAAAACTAATTAATAGAACAAAATGTGTTGAGTCCAAATTGTTTATGAACTTTTTTGAATGTAAAAATTTAATATAACATTTTTTACTTGTTCTTGAACATCAATACAATTAAAGATATATAATCTTTATTTATTCAATTTTTCAACTTTCTATATAAATGGGACTAAATGTAAAAAGGAATTTTAACACACTCTTGTTCACATTCGAACAAATGAAAAAAAAAACATCGTTTCACATATCATTTCATCAAATTCAAATTTTTATTTATTCAACACATTCATCTTAAAAAAGTCGATTACACAAAATTCATATAAATTTCTTTTTTCAAGTACTGAATTCAAAGACAATAACCTTTTCTTTAAAAAGTGTGGCTTAAAGTAATTTTCATTGTTTCCAGAAATCATTGAGATTTTGTGATATCTATGACAAAATAATAGTAAATATTTGTAGCTTTATTTTCTATTTTTATCAAAGGTTAACTATTCCCATTTGTCTATGTTATGTATAATTTTCAAGAATCACTCTTTTTTTACCTTGTTTTTTCCCTGTCGATGTTAATAATAAAAAGAATCTTTTTGATAAGAGATAGTCCGTTTAAGATGTATAAACTCAAAAGATTGTTTATAAGTTTTTTTTAATCACTGGGTATTCTACCATCTACCTTTGCTTGTTTGAGATTATGTTGAAAATAGGAGACAAATTGAAGGCAAAGTGTAAAGAAACGTAGACAACTAACATAGTGTTAGTTAATATTTTTGGAAATTCAGGTCAGCTCATATCTGTAATTGATATTTTTCTTGGCCTATCAATTTTTCTTCTTTACAGCACTTCTTTCTTTTACAATAATTAGTACCACACAATAAAAAGAACATCGTGAAATAATTATGTTTCAGAAACATAATCGGGTTTTATAATCCCTCGATAAAACGTTTCTTGAATAGGCTCTCTTTTCTACAAAAGCACTCAATTTCGACAACATCAAGTAACATGAAGTAAAGAATGAAGAGGGGTTAACCATGCTAACCGCGCGTATCATAATAAAGTAGACCAAATGGCTATAGTCATTTGATAAAAGAGTAAAATTAGACAATATCATGTTTCATAAATGCAATATATTCAATAAAATACATTGCACACAATATTACTTCTCTGAAAACGTTATGTACAATGTTTTTCGGGCGTCCCATTATTGCAATACTTTTAATAATAAATTAAATATAGTACAAAAAATCTTATTTCTTTCTGGGAACACTTTATGTTACAAGTATTATAAGCATTTTTTTTAGTAATTAAAAGCTTTGTAATGGATACTTACGATCCGAATATCTTAGCGTCCTCGATGGTTTCGGGTAATTTTTTATGGAGGGTCTCTGGTAAAACTAGAGCTAGGCAGCCCGCCAGAATACTGACTGCACCAAATACAACAAGAGGGAAGGCTTTACCGAAATCTCCGCCGATTTCCTCACCCTATAAAATAGATCAGTTTCTATGAATATATTATAAATCAGAATAATGTAAACACAATATTTACGTATGTAAGTATTTTATTAAACATAAAATCAAACATGTTCTTTTATTCCAACTTTATAAGTGTAATAAATTGTCTACCATATTTTTTACATAACAGAGAACTTCTTTTTTGCAATATTCTATATAAAAACACAACGTAACTCTGAATAATCTACAAGGAAAAAGTAGCATGGATTAATTCTGAGTTTATCTACAAATATAACAATTATGATCATTGATACTTGTTCTCCATCAGACCCTAAACTGCAGCTAAAATAATGAAAAAAGACACATTATAACTCAAACGAAAAGAAAACTCTCTTTCTTTTCTACTGGGAAATCTGAAATAAATTTTCAGTGTTTATTTTTTTCAACTTACCTAGCTTGTTTACACGTATATTGCAGTTGCAGGTATACAATTTTTGGTCAGCTGTAAGAATTATTTAATAAGATATATTTAGTCGATTTTTTAAAATTTGATTTATTTCTAACTAGGCCTGTTTGTTGACGTTACAAATTGACCAAACATGGCGAAATTCTACTTTATTTCTTCGAAAAGATGAACAGAGTAATTCAGCTTATTGAAATTGCTGAGTGGGTGTTAATAATAAGCATACAATAATTACATAACCCTGTATTTATACCCTAAACGTAAACATAAGAAAGTAAACAATATGTGAAACCCTTATTTTTACTTGAAAAACGTCTTGAAATTCTTCGATCATCGCCTAATCGGGTCAACTTGCAGCGACAAGTGTTAACATATCATACATTTTAATTCATAATTAAGACAAATATTGCAGATTAAATAATATTCATTTTTGGTCTCACCTGTGTCAAAGTTTCTGACTCTTTCCTACATTTATGTAATAAGTACAGATACAATATATATTATACTTCCTAATTAAGATATAACTACAATTTATGTTTTTGATATCATATTGCTAATTTGTGCAAACAGCTCGAAATATTGAATTACCTCTTACATATGGTGAAGTATATACAGAGTATTAAAATAGGGTGAGAGATCGATCCATAGATATTTCTTCCTATATCACTGAGAGATTCGGTTTTTTCTTTAATAGCTGCTAGAGAGTAATAAAATTAATTGGCCATGCTTGCTGCGTTATTCGATGAAAATATCGGCTCATTTTGAGTTATATTTTTAGGCCTTGTGTCTTCAGAATGAGGGGGTACGCGTTTATACATTTTAATTTCTTAATGATTCCTTAAAAAATTAATTTCAGGAAATGATACGTAATTTATAGCAGACTTCGTGCACGCATATGGATATCAAACAGATACAAGAAAAAAACAGACAAGATTACACAGTGTCTTATTCTGGACACCCTGTATCTAACTACGTAAGAAACATTATTCCGAAAAGTAAAAAAAAAAATCTTTTAAAAGAATTCATTATTTATATAAATTATATATATAAGATACATGTAACAATAATATGCTCGTGTCAAAGATGAGGGGAAAATTAAAGGCTAAAATTAATACTTGTACTTGGTAGAAGTTGTTTAACATACTTATGGGACATAGGCATTTTATTTCTTCGTGCTTTTAAATTAAGATTCCCCAATTTTGAGGACATTTTCATGCACATGCAAAAGATATTTAAACGAGGTATACACAGAACACTGTGTTTTATTTAATAAATACTATACCCGATGTACATTGTATTAACAAAAATCTTGCCCCTATATACAATGCATATTGGTGTATTACTTAATGAATACTGATTATATACAATATTTTCATTCAAGGTGATTCATTCATGAAATTTTATTTACCGATTTTGCCACGTAGGGCGCCAGCATCCCCCCAATTCTCGCTACACTTGAGCTAGCACCCAGCCCCCCATTCCGGACAACGGTGGGAAAAAGCTCCTCTGAAAAAGTGTAGATGACCCCAAACGCCGCAGCACTCCCCATCTTCCCTATGACGGCGAGTGTTATTGTAGCTGGCTCCATTTCTACATAAAATGCAAACAAAACATTTAAAATGCACGTTAAATCAAATTTAATGTATTTAGATAACACATAGTGATCGACAGCTTCATTTTACGATTTCTTTGGTCTAAACATTAAAGAGTACATCTATATCTTTACTCACCTGCGCCGCCATATAGAACAGTAAATATTGTCAACAGGCAAGCTATGCCGCCTACAAACATACAGGCACAATGTGTCTTCTTCCGCCCAAACCTCTCCAGGAAGTAAATAGTCGAGCTATTTGCCGGATATTCAACAACAGCCATGATAAAAAAGTTGAGAAAGAAGTTCCCCCCGAGGTAACGAGCGTGCATAGTGACTCCATAATACATCATACTTACGATCATCCTATTACAAAATAAAGAACAAGATCTACTGTTTTACACAATCATCCTATTATAAAATAAGGAACAAGATTTACTGTTGTAATAGATCACTCTCAAGGCAAAATGTAAGACATATTTCTACAGCTAGTGATCTTAAATCAAAGAAGATAAACTGACAAGTCTGCATAATCGTAGAAAAAATTTCAGGTCGGATACAAACAGAAGATAAAACCCGGACATTCGGTCAAATGGAAGATAACTTATGAAATGAGACTTCCGCCTTGCAGTAACCTTTGCAAACCTTTCAATGACCATTCAGTAACCTTAAAGGCGTAGTTCCATATTTGTAAAAAAAAATCTTAAAAGCTGATTTAAAGAGTTGTAAAGGAGACGAATCCTTACTTTTCTTTCAGTTTATAGCTTCTAATAATAATTGGACCGTGTCAAATTTGACATACCAGTTGAAAAAAATAATGAGTGTTCGAATACACAAAATCCGATGCTGAAACAGATGCCAGAGCTGTGCTCCTTTAGGTAACTCCAGGGTCTTCTCGTCAAATATTGTGCCTTCTCCCTCAATAGCCTTCTTGTTAACTTTCCCTATGTTCTCTAAGATAGCTGAGGCCTCTTTGTATTTTCCCTGCGTGACCAACCAACGTGCAGACTCGGGAATTATCCTGAAATATTGTTCTCAAGTCATAAAAAAAAGCAATGTGCAAAGTTGTACGTAAGAAAGACATGCATGTGACATATTGTCAATAATACATGTTCAAATTAAATGAAATCCTATGTCCTATGTACAGTGTTAGGGGTTTTATGAAAAAGGAATAAATTTTGAACAGTCATTCTTTGAAAGAGCTCAAAGTTACAAATAAACACAAATTTGAACTTACCACCAATAGAACATGTATATAATACACGTGCATGCTGTAGCAATCTGCACCTGTTGATGATTTCTGAAGAAGTAACCAAAGCCCGAAAGAACGACAATTCCGGTTGCAAAAAACATGTGGATAGGAACTCCAACAAATACCCGCTTGGATGGACCGACAAATTCAATGCCTGAAAAAGAATCAAGTTAATTTGACAGGGTAACTAATCTATTTAGAAATTTAGGGGCACAATTTCTTATCAAAAAATTGTTTCACAAGGAAGTTCTGTCCTTGCATTTTCGTTTTTTTTTTGTTTGATTATTGAGAAAGTTTTTTTTTTATTTTCTAACAGATAAGAAACAGTTAATTGTCAAGCACGTTTAATTACATGTACACAAGGGGCAATAATTGTGTTAATTTGTTTTAGATATCAGTTCTAGAGGCACAGATGTTTTTATCCATATTAACAACCACTGTTGCTTATTCAACATGGATTAAGCGTAAAAGTTCAGTCTAAACTGACAACAAATGAAAGAAATATTTATCAGTCATAGACTTCATGCTGATACATGTATCAGGGATTTGTAAATCATAAGCCGCTGGTTTTAGAGATATTTTAGACTTTGATTACTGGTGTTAAAAGAACTAACTGCAAAAATTGGAGATTTCAAAGTCATTTACTTCTTGTACCAATAATCGATATCAAAGTTATCGATTGCTAGTGTCATTAATATTTAAGTAAGAGACTTCTAGGTTAACGGACATCTATGTCACCGACTAACTGACTACTTACGTTGAATATTTCTTTACTGACAGATAGTGATATTGACATGTCGGACACAAGGGGTATGTCAATCACCAACATCAGTGATAGACTTTCTCTACACCATTGATTGAAATTAATGAAAATTTTACCTTCCAGAACCTTATTTACATACTGCTAAGAAATATATATATTTTGTCATCGAAGTCATGATCATATAAGAGTGGGGAAGGTTTTAAGGTTTTGGGCTCATTGCACGTATTGACTCTACTTTAATCTTCATTGTTATGTTGAACTGATTCCCCTATCATTTGTTTCACTTTAACTGTGCTATAAATAGTTCGCTGTGACTCTTTCATTTCGAGTAGCATTAGAGTAAATCGGTTACATTTATTGCAAGGCATATTTCTGCCAACATTTTTTTAATTTTTGTTGTTTTCTTATCATTATGTCGACTTGTGTGATAATTATGTTGACTTGTTAGATCTTTTTGTCGACTTATCATAAAAATGTGTTCATGCTAGTGTTATTCAATTGACATAACATTTCCTGCTAAATTTTGTGATTGAATGTGTATAATTTATAATGCAAAAAAAAATTTACTAAATATTTTTTTTATTTCTAAATTGTAAATGTCATACATGTACCGGTATATCTGATTGTGATAACAGATTCAGAAAGAAACTAATTCTTTGATCCATTTGTTTTAAAAAATGCAATTTAATATAACGAATTTTAATGTCTGTGAAAATGTATTAATAATTTTCACTATTAGAATTGCTTACAAAAAATTGAAAAAAGGATCAAATTCATTTGAACTAATATCTCAAAATATGCATAATGTAATAAACTCTTTCAATCAAATTCCTCATTTCAAATCCAAAACGTTTCTAATAGGTTATGAAAGGGCTTCAGTACTCACACAACAAATTATTGATAATGACGTCACTCACTTAATATACAGGCTATAATGAAGGCGGCATGCATGGCTGCACCACACATGAACTCCAGAATTGTTAGACTGATGACATCCGGGGCATAGGAGGCACCAAACGACACCCCGGTCAATATCACTGCGCACAGCGTGAATGTAGTGCGGCGTCCTATACTGTTAAAAATAATTGTAAGAAATGTGTCGTTTCGGAAAATAATGTTTGATAAAATGAAACTGAGAAGTGTTCTGGATGCTTTTCAGTATTTCAATGCTTTTCAATAAAATTTTATTCCATTATCTTGCTATCTTCAGTTTTGTTATTCTTTTAATTATCATAAAACATGATCCTTTATCATGTTTATCTTGTCAAAGGACAAAGTCGAAATTGTCAAGCAGGTGTACATGAACAAGTCAATTTCAAAGTTCTTTAATGAATAAATTTTGGGGGACCACAAAGTTCCTCTTTTGCAAATAAGTTCTAAGTAAATTTTATGCACTCGGTTCATTTCTATCATGTCAAATAATTTTTCTGAGTTCACAGTTCATGTTATGCTCTCATTTTATTTATACTGAAAAGCATTTAAAGGATATGAATTATAAACTGAAAATATTACATGTAAGCAATGAAGATCATAAATCTTATTAACATTTATAACATTACATATAGATATTCTGACACACAATTCAGCAATTCAATGATTCTTAAAGAAAACGATTATGCTTTGTTCTGACGATTTTATTTATTAACTAACAAAAGTGATCATGTTTACATCTTATATTTTGAAATCTTAAAAGCACGTCAATTTTGTTACCCAGAAAAGACTTTATTTAGTCAATAAAATCAAAACGCGCATTCACGATTTAAAGATCACCAAAGAGCCATAATCCGCCCCATAAACTTTCTTTAAACATATATAGAATGATTAAAATATTTATCATGACTAGATCGAATGAAATGTAACACACAGGTAAGAAATGAAGACAATGACTTACACGTCAGCCAGCATACCAAAACCCAGATCCCCACAAAGAACACCGAGGAAATACACAGCCTGGATCATTGACGTCTTCCATTTGTCTCCACACACCAGATTATGCTACAGAAACAGGGATTTAATCCTCATTAATCAACTTCAAATCAATGTAAATTTTTTAATTGTTTTTCTTTAAATTGTAAAATAGTTTGTATTTTCATTATTGAATATGATGAAAAATGGTATAGTATGAGGCGCCATTTTGGTATTTACTGCCAAAAAATGAGATCACCTATTTGAATAGATGATATCACTTATTCGAATAGGTGATATCACCTATTAATTTCCAATAGATGATATCACCTACATGTATTCGAATGTAGTGATATCACCTATTCGAATAAGTGATATCACCTTTTCGAATAGGTGATATCAGCAACTGAATAGGTGATATCACTTATTTGAAGATGATATCACTTTTTGGCAGTAAATACCAAATCAGCACCTCATAGTTAAGTGCTAACTCTGATTCATGATGTCTTTTGCTTTTTAACTTTTGTACAACTGTTGCTTACCATTGAAGTAAATGTCACGTAGAAAACACTGGTATCGTACACCCATTCACTGCACTCTATGACCCCTGCAGTTCCACTGTGGTTTCCAGATGTGCGCATGTCAATCACGTGACATCGGTCATATTCAAAAAGAGGCATATTTGATGGAGGAATGGTCAAATTAATGAGATGAGCATGCGCTGGACTTTGAATTTCCCAGGTGTCATTTTCTAGCCCAGGTATTTTACACCTAAATAACAATAACAATTAATTTAGCTTCACATAAAATGTATTCAATACCATTCTGAATTATTATCGGTTTTGTTTTAGCTTTGGATAACCTATATTCAATATTGAATTGAGATGAAACCGACAGTACCTCGAGATTCCTCGCCACCTAAATGCGTTTTCATACGCATACGAACTTACAACCTCAAAATTTCAAGAATAAATAAAACAGAATTTAAAAATAGCATCATCCAACACTGTACAATAAGTGAATTCAAAGAATTGTAGTACATCGCTTTCGATGTCTTAGTCATTGTATTGCATTCATCTAAGGTTCATTTAAGGCATATTGTAATTCTATGTCTAGTTTGTTTGTCCTGTGATGTCCGTCCATCACATAAATGCATAATTATATAAAATATCTCTTTATCTAAAAGATTAAAATATCATGATAGAACCGAAAAGTTTTTAACAGGAGTAACAGTTTCGGATATTGCGTTAAAATCATAGTATAATTTGAAAAGTTTTGTCATAAGTAATGTACAGTGAAAATATGGAAAAAAAGTTTTTACCAACAGACGAACCGATTAACAACGAATGAGATTCAATATTCCACTATTTTCCTGAATTTTCCTGAATGCAGGAGACAAAATAAATTTATTTGGTTGGGCAGCTTGGCGGTTTTGGGAAAATTATTTAAATTATTATTTCATTGGCCAACCCTCTGAAGGTCAACACGACATAAATGTTTGGAAAGAGTTTTATAAACTAAACATTATAAATCAGAAAGTAGATCGTACAGTACATGTAGCTCTTCAGTGGTTCTCTATTGAAGAGTCGTGTCGAAGACGGCCGCTTAATACTCATTTACACGTTGGGTAAACTGAACAGATTTAAATAAACAAATTATACGATAAATTTTTACATAATCCATGAAATTTAAAAAAAATAAAACATAATTTAAAACGTTATAAAAATTTGCTCAAAGTGAATTGTGCAAAAGTTAAGATGATACATGTAATCTTTAGAAGTGTTCAGTTTCTATTCCTGTTATAACATCTCTAGAAACAGGATGGTAAGCATCCTGTTAGCTTACACTGTCCTAAGTCCTATAACTAGGATTTGTTTATTCTTACGCAAAATGTCTTCTACTTCCATATTCCAATCGGATATTATCTCAGTTTTGCATATCGTATTTAAGGAATAATAGTATAAGGTAGATAAAAATAACTTTTTGGGGAACATACCTATGGTCTGGAGTATAGAGATGAAAGATGAGTCCCATCATAAACAAGGCATTGCTGATAGCCACGATACATAGTATCAGGTAAAGACGCTTCTGGTACAACCCAAATTCACCCACCAACTTCAACGCGTCGTCAAAGCGCATTGTCGGTCCTTGTCAGAGCTATGTCCTGAAAGATTATACTTATAAGTAAAATAATTCTGTACTAGCTTTCATTAAACACACAATGTCCGATTAAGAAGAGGGGAGGTAACTAGTCTCAGCTTAGAACCATAATTATTTTCTACGAAACATTTTGTTATGTATGGAGGCATATTTCTGCTCACTTCATACAAGATAGATTATGCCAATGTGCAAGAAAAATGTGTCCATATTCAAGGATTCAAGGTAAGTATGTCTTCATGCAAGTTCTTAATCTTGTTAGAGAATATAAATCAAATAGGGGTAATTTTACCTACAGACGTCAGTATCTAACATCATATCCGCAAGATGCAACATACCGGTAAGTACGTTGATATGCGACTTCTTTTGGTTAACTTGCAAGATTATTGTGTTAACTTGCGAGTTAATTATGTCATTATGCAAGATGTTACATGTATGAATCTATTTTTTTTTCTGCATTTTAGCATAATAATCTGGCAAGTTGACATAGATGAGCTGCATGCTGACATACACATGTAAATAATCCGCACATTGACATAATAATGTTGCATGTTAACATAAATCGCATGTTCACACAAATACCAAGTGCGTGTTTCCATAAGTATTTTGCGTGTTAACATAATTATATTGCATGTTTACATAAAACAGAAAAATGGCAAGCTAAGCTAGAAACTTATAAAAGAAGGTTTTCTAAAAGAATTTGTAACTTGCATGTCAACATAAGTATCATGCATTAAGACATAATTAGCTAGCATGTTGACACACATTTCTTGCATGTTAACATAATTTATCTTAAAATTTAAAAATATGCCAACATAGATATGCAAGTAAACACTGTTATATATATTATACTTCTTATGTAGGGGGATGTGCCACCACATATAAGGATTTACATCGAAAGACAAAATCAGACATCCTACCTGCTGATTCAAACTTTCTTCTAGCTTAAGAAAAACGTTCTTAAGTTCTGAGAATTTATATCAAACCATTGTCATCAAATTGCGTAGATTGTTTTTAAGTGTGTCAATGTATTTTATACCTTACAAGTTATTAACCTTTCTTAGTTTTAGTTTTTCTTGAACGAGAAAAACACATTACTTTTTGTATAAAGGTCAATTTTAATTACAAACGATTACCTGACATTGATATTCACAAAACATACTACGACTTATGCTTTGCTATACCCTTTGCTATGTTGAAGCTCGTAACCTTTAAATTTTCACAGTGATTTGAGACTTTTAATTAAAAAAAATAATTTGAATTTATTTTGTCATTTTCAATTTTCTTCTTTTAAAAGAATATATATTTGGCAATAAAACTCAATGATGAAGCTCTGTCGGATCAAGTTGAAAAGAACATGACGATACTATTAGTCAGTTGAAAGATCAATGTACTTATTCAATATATTGAGGAATCAGTTTATCTCGTTGTGGTTCAATTTTCGTGTAATTCGTGGGTACCCTTCATCCACGAATTAACATCATCATCCTCAACGAATTTATGAACGAGGGGTTTCAAGTCATATTTCCCTTTGTAGATATCATTATAATACACGAAATTACGTCCCCCAAGAACTAATAAAATTTTAACAAAATTGACTTTTAGTTAAAATAAATTATTCTATATATCTATTGTATTTCAAAAACTTTCTTATGAAAAACCAAGTCAGAATGATTAAATTTTTTATGGAACTTAATATTTTTTGTAAAAAAAAAAAAAAATCAAGGTCTTTAAAGGTCGCGAATAGTGCGCACGGACCAGTCTGACGTCAAGCCAATTTCGTTTTAACGTCAACATTTGGATTTTTAATTTTAACACATGTTCATGGACACGCACTACATTTCTTTTTTATGGCGCCACACTTCCAAATGCTATCAATAATCTGTAAGTATAAATTATATTTTGTTTAATTTTTAAAATTTAAAACAATGCACAAAAAATTACAAGCGTCATCAACATAAACAGTTTGTATACACACACTGCACAGCCCAGTCCGTCGCTGTGCTAGATTTGTAACAACGTCATGAATAGAAATCTCCATTTTCAGCATATTACATGAAAATTGTGTTTTTTGAAATTCTTTTAGTGTCTTTGAATTTGTACACACCGTTGAAAAATCGTATATACCAATCTCAAATCAATTTAAACTAAATATATTTCAATAATTTTAGTTGTTTTAACAAGTAGTTTGTCTATTACGTCGTTTCAACCTTATTAAAAAATTTTTTGATTGGACGTTGTCCCGTTCGGAAGGCCGAAATTGCTTTTTCTGTCGAGTTTTGACACATATTTGTTACAATTTTTGTTTAGTATTTTCAATGTCTATATACATGTAGTAAGCGATACTTTATAGATATCAGAAAACGATTATAGCCTATTTATTTGTGTTACATATAATTTTCATTAAGTTTTCACTTGTTTTTTATAGAAAATAATCACTTTATATCAAAGTTTATGGCATTTTAACTTTAGACTAATTTTTGGTGCTATATTCAAAAAAATATTAAGTTCATAATAAAAATTTCAATCATTTCTTGGTTGTTCATAATATTTTGATATACATTTATATATAAAACCATTATTTAGAAAAAAGGGTATTTTTAGACAACCCTCGTATATATAGAAAACACAGAGAAATCATATGGAAAGTAATCTGTGTACCTATATTAAATTTGATATTGATTTAAAGAAGAGGCCAAAACTTGCTTTAACATGCTTATTACCGTTTACACTTCGAGAGAGAATGTAGGCAATCTGGATACATTTCCTTTGTACCAATACACGTTTGTTAAAAAAAAATTCCCATATTCATGAAAATTTTCTTAATCTTTTATTGAAAATGACAGTTTAAAATACAGTTTTTGACCTTGTTTACCTACAAATTATGCACTTTGAAAAAACATTATTTGACCAATATAAAGTTGTAAATAATCGCATCAAAATAAAGGATTTATTTCTAACTTTTTTATAAAAGTCTGTAGGCACCTTTCATTTTAAATATTTAAGGTTTTGATAAAATAACAAAATTAAAGGTTTATAAAAAAGTGACGAGTTTATGGCATTTTAACCTTTTTCCATGCGCATAAGTCTGTAAAGATGTACATGTATAAAGAAAATTCTTTCTCTCTCTCATTTTTACTGAAAAAATATCTAGTTTTCCATCATTTATTAAAATTTTCATTCTGACCAGTTATGTAAATACATAATTATATATTTTGATATACATTAGATATATATAAAACTATTTATTTTAACAAAAACGTCATTGTCCACGAACTTTTTGGACAACCCTCGTACATGTATACATGTATATAGAAAACACAGAGAACATACAAGTTCCGCCTCAACCTCCGATTGAACTTTCGACCTCCGGAACCTGTGTCCTAGCGGTACATTAACAGCTCACTTGAACACTACATGAAATTCAAAACTTGCTTTCGATGCCGATTGCATGACAATTCTTCCGAAGCCCCCCGCAATGTACACTACGCGGACATTGAGAATGAAAGTGACTCGAGTGAGATACAAGTTAAATTAGAGGATTGATACCAATACACGTTGCAATGAAATTCACTGAAAGTGGGGGTATTAATTTCGGTCTGTCTGTCCGTCCATCCATCGTTCGCCCGTCCGCCAGTTGCATTTTTGTCTGTCTGTAACACTTTAATTTCCGCACGATATCTTGAAAGGCTTTTAAATTAGGCGTTTGCAATGAAAATTCACACAGGTATGAAATTTACTAACCAAAAGGTCATCATAATAATTTTGTCATTTTTAGACTATGTAACTAATAATCTTTGGCTTTTGCAATGAAAATTTATACAATTTTCGGTGGATCATGAATGCATACGCATGTTTGTGGTTGAAACTTAAATTTCTAACGATACTTCGAGAAGCTTTTGCAATTAAATTTATGCCATAAAAAGTTGTAAAACCTCTAAAAATATTAATGTGTTTAGAATTCACCCCACCGATGAAACATTATATAATTTTATCTGAAATAAATTTATAAATGGTTTTCTCTGCCAACATTGTGATATATACATGTTATCCTAATGCCATAAATGACTTAAATGACTTTGTCACGTTTGTGTTTGTGGCAAATAAACCTATTATTTCCATAAAGGTGAAAGAAATACTAGGGTAGCTTCAAGTTCAATGGTCAATATATAAGTTCTTTTGTTATCTTTTTCCCCATCACACAAACATATACACAATTGTTCTGTGCTTTTTTTCTGTACTAAGTTGAATTTATTCTCTCTAGCATCACATATTGGACTTAAAGTTTTATGTGCAACCTAGGTAATTGTTGATATCTCTCTCTCTCTCTCTCTCTCTCTCTCTCTCTCTCTCTCAATATATGAGGATAAAATGTATGACACCGATTCTTACAATACGCATTCAAGATTTTCGTTGATAATGTTAATTTGATGTCAGAAATGTAATTGTGTGTATTACAAAGGCAACATGTGCAGATGTTAACAGGAATTTAAATCTTTTATTCTACGCTATTGTAATTCGAATTCTATCAAAGCTTTATCTGCAAGGCGTTCCTAGCTGAATGCATTTCTCAGCGTGTCCTATCATGAAATAAGGGGGGTATGCACTGACTGAGAATCGCATGTAAGAATCTAGCTACTTAAGATAATTAATACTTTTAAAGAATTTAAAAGATGGTTTAATCATTTGAGGATATAATGCATTGCATTGTTATGGTTTCATTTCATTTTATGGTTACAATAAATATGCTCTACGTATCAGGGGTCTCCTTGAGGTGCACAGTGGCATTATAATCAAGAATCTGTGAAAGTGTCATTAAATTTTATTCAGTGGTATAGGAGGAGTTGTGGATAAGAGATGGGTACCTTTCAATGTCATAAAAAAACTGTCAGTGTCAAGTTTTGTCCATGGGAAATCCAAAATATGTCTCCGATCTAAAAGGAAATATAGAATATCACACTGCTGTTTTGATCTCGGCCCTGGTATCAGCCCGAGCGGTTGGTATCGGCCCAAGCCCGGAGGGCGCGGGCCGAGACCATGCAGGGCTGATACGATGGCAAAACAGTGGTGTGATGTTGTTTATATCATATATCTAAAACCAAAGAAAAGAACAAATATTCAGATATTTTTCGATCAAGAAGTTTATATAAATTTGTCGTAAGAAAATTAGAGTTATCTTTCTTTATTTCGATGTGCCGGAGATATTGCTTGACGGTGAATAATCATTTACGAGAAAGATTTGCATGGTCTGGTCATTAAAAAGAATATTCCAGGTGTTTTGAAACATTTCATTTCGAAGCACATTAGATAACAAAGATTTAAAAGGTCCCAAACTAAAAAATATTCTACTTTCACTTTGGATCGAACCGGGGTTACAACTTCTCCAACGAATCGTTAAAAAATTATAAGTCTGAGATTTATAGTAAATGTTTGTTTTGTTTACCATATATATTAAATTAAAAATGGCACATTAAATGGAAACTTGGTATTTTCTTACTGTCAGAGCAAATAAACGTCCATTTTTTTTCAAAACATGACTTGTTGCTGTCCTAGAAGTAAACAAGAATTACCTCTCTTACGTCACAAGTGCTATCATTTGGCGCACTTTTTAAAAACAATTTTCTCAAAATTCTACTATGAATAAATATTTTTTAAAGATTCTGGTTAAATTTTTCGATATATAATGTTTCTCTTAATACTTCAATATGATTTTTACTTTTAATTTACACAACTTAAGGTCAAGATCTAGTAAATGAAAGGTGCCTACAGATTTATCAAACTTGAGAAATTGATTCCTTTATTGATGCTTTACAACTTTAGCTTGGTCAAAAAATGTGTTTCGGGGCATAATTTATAGGTAAACAAGATGAAAAACTGTATTTTAAACTGTTATTTTCAATGAAAAATTAACAAAAACCAGTCATGAATATGAGAGTTTTTTTTTTCGTATTCGGCAAAGGAAATGTATCCAGATTGCCTACAGTCTCACAGAAAACGGTAATTAGTATGTACATGTCCTCTTCTTTAAATCAATATCAAATTTAATATAGGTATCCGGTTAACTTTTCATATGATTTCAAATTGAATGATATGAAAATACTCTATTTTCTACATAACTGTGGTAAAGCCGTAAAGTACGGGAAAAAGAAAGTTGAAATTGATTATGACGTCATAATGGATCTAGAACCAAAAAATTAGTCTCAAGCTATTTACTAGATCTTGACCTTAAACAGAAATAATGATTTGAAATTTGAGGGCGAGACAGCCCCTTGACGACGGGCCGAGACAGAGATATCTCAGCCCTGAGGGCGAGACAGCCTTACTTCCCAGGCGCTGTCTCGCCTTGTCCAAAAAGCCCTGTATCAGGGCTGATACACTACTAGGTATATGATATAATACTAGTAGAAGGTCGCAATGGCACTATGTAACAAAGAATCTGTAAAAGTCTCAGTGAATTTCACTGACTGGTATAAGAAAAGTTGCGGAGAAGAGATGGGTGCCCGAAAGCATAACATCCCGATCACTATATACCCCTTCTACCCCTTCTCACTTCTCAAATGGGGGAGGGGGGTATAAATATGCAACTGTTTGTCTAAAGTATGAAGTTTATAGGACATGGTAAACATCACTGAAAGTTAACATTATCCAGTACATGTACAGGCTTACCAAACAGCTCCAATCCACGTATATAGTGAAATGCCACCTAGGTGTCCATATTTCATATACCCCCACTTGAAATGTGGGAGGGTATATAGTGTTCGGGGTGTCCGTCTGTCTGTCTGTACGTCCGTCAGTCTGTTACGCTTTAGGGTACCTTTCTCTTGTCCGCAGCTCCTCTTATAAACCACTGATAAATTTAATGAGACATTCTCAGACTCTTTATTACATGTGCCATTGTGCATCTCTTATTTTAATTTTTGATCCGACACATATTTTGAGTTTCTCCCAGCAAAATATGAACAATGACATTTGTTCTATAATACTGAAGGGTACCATCTCTTATTCGCAACTCCTCCTCTATCACTGATTAAAATTCAATGATACATACACAGATTATTAATTCCACAATACCATTGTGCACTTCCTATAATTATAATTTTTAATCTTACACTTATTTCGGGTCTCCAAGAGCAAATCATGGACTTTGCCATTAGTATCATATGGTAGGCCGGGATATCATTTAGTGGACTCAGTACTAGTGCTAACAGAGCCTCTATGCTTTATAGAATTTTTAAAGCAAACTTTGGTTTAGAAAATTATCTGCTGAGTTTACCAAAAGATTCAAGAGTTACACTTACAAAACTGCGAACGTGTAATCACCATTTGCCAATTGAATAGGGTACATGTAGATGGCATAAAATTGACAGAAATTTAAGAATATGTACCATTTGTGATGGTAAAACTGTTGGTGATGAATATCATTATGTTATGGAATGCAAGTACTTTTCGAATGACAGAAAAAATATTTAGCCAAAATATATATTGTAAAAATCCTAACACTTTCAAATTTAATGAACTAATGAAAAGTAATAATGTAGAAATACAAAAATCATTGTCAAAATTTATCAAGAAAATTGCAAAACTGTTAGTCCTTATTGAATCCTCCATGTGTTTTATATATAACTGACTATATGTTTATCTCACTTTTTTCATATTTCTCTATCTACTTGTCTATTTCTTGACCCTTGACTGTAAGTTTTGTTTGTAAATATGTACCTCTTGTACATGTACCAGTGATTTGATTTTTAGTGAATAAAGAATTGGTTTCTTTGTATTGATTACACAAGTTCAATTATTAGTAATAAACAAATTTCTGGTCAATAAGTTAATTGTGAAAATTAGAGTCAATACCGGAGTAACTAGAGGTACTGTGAGAAATTGAGCTCACTAAATAATACCCCCTGCCTCCCATATGGTTATAATGGCAAACTCCATGTTTTGCTCTGGGACACCAGAAATAAATAAGTGTTAGATCAGAAAGTAAAATAGAAAGTGCACAATGGCATTATGTAATAAAGAGTCTGTGAAAATAACATTAAATTTTATTCAGAGGTATGGGAGGAGTTGCGCATAAGAGATGGATACCTTCAATATTACAGAAAGAATGGCCGTGTACATGTTTTACTCTGGGAAACCCGAAATATGGGTCCGATCAAAATGTAAAATTGAAGGTACAAAATGGCACTGTGGAACAAAGATTATGCGAAAGTCTCAATTTCAATGACACGGATAAGAGATGGGAAACCCAAAGCGTAACAGACGGACGGACGGACATCTCAATCACTATATACCCTCCCACTTTTAAATCGGAAGGTATAACTACAATTAACCAAACTTAAGTTCTAATAAATCAGATATACATGTAATTTCAAGCAGAAATCTGAATGAGAGAAAAAAAGTTATTTTGAAGGCCCCTATTCACAACAAATTTTTAATGTTTAGCTATCATAACTCTGTTATATAAATTCAATCCTTGAATTTTTTGTCAAGGTTTTAAGAATTTCAGTATGAAATACGGAGACAATAAACTAATTTAAGCAAATGTGACAAAAAAAATTGAAATGAACATGACATTATACATAATGTTTTGCACAGTATTGTCCTGATGGAAAACTCATCCAGAATTAAATATAGTTTTGTGATAATTAAATACACTTTATTAAAATCGCCTACTCATTAGATGTTTTTCATATTCATAAAATGTGTCTGTAAAATATTACTCCATGTTACATTGTTAGTAGATATTTGTACAATTTTAGATTTTCGCTTCAAATATCTATAATTATAATGTTTTAGTCTCCACTAACAACTTAAAACTTACCTGTAGTGATCTATGCCTTTGAAAAGATAAGAGTCCAACACTTCAGTTTTATACTAAACCGAAAATCCGAATGATTGGTAGCAGACTGAGACTTAAAGATAAGTACATTATGAAGATTTTTAACAAAAAATGAGTTACTTGTTGTATAGCTTTGTATGACTCAAACCACAGATCTTTAAATTCTATCAGGAATCAAGGAAGGCGAACCAAACGTTCATTGTGAAATCACAAAAGGTTTAAAATACTAACGATATAGCCCTTCCATAGGCAGCGAAATCTTTAAACTGTAGTACACGGGGTTTACTTGACCTCTGAAACCCTTAAATTTAGGTCTATATGGTTGTGATTAATTATAGTTACGAGCTTTTAAAATAATCATAATCAACAAACGTGTTCAAACAAAATGTTGAATCAAAAGATATGGACTGTTTCGCAAAAATAATCTGTCCTCAATTTGTCCAAGAATTAGTACGGATTTCAATTTAAAAGTAAATTCTTGTTCCGTAAACAATCCGATAACCTCACAATGATATGCACACTGCACTTAAGAGCTAAAATTTCATAGATGTGGAGGAATTTGTACCAGTATAACCATTCTTTTTTTCATATTCAATGCGCACTTGTCAACAGCAAACAAATTTTGAATTGAATAAACGGGGAGAACTCTTACGTTTATGATCTCAAACGTTTATGAAAAATTTCAATGCAACTTTGACCGTTGCTGTCAAACGTACGAGGGAGAAATCATTATTTCAAGGGATCATCTGAGATTTCGAACTTGTGCTTCGACATTTAATTGATACCACTGATGGGTCATCTCACAATGGATACACTTAAGAAATTTGAAATCCATAGCCCTACAAAAGTTATGTGAAAGGTTAAGGTTTTTGTGGAGAAAGAGACAGACAACGTACATGGCAAAACTATATACCCCTGAATCTTTGAATACACGGGGGCATAAAACAATGTTGAATTTAAACATTGAAACTGGTCATGTAGATGATAAAGACTTTGAGCTCCTCGGGTGACTCGTACATGTAGATGTATATCACACACTGAGTCCTAGAACGTGTTCTACACTTTTACTGAATTATATGGTTCAATCCGAAATTCCTCCAAATTTTACTCCTATGAAATCTATGTTACTTTGTGACATGCCTAACAATATGACTCTACTTTCAAAGACTAAAAACAATTGAAGTTTGCGATCAAATCTATTAGATAAAATATACAAAGTATAGATATTTGGTAAATGCAAGTGCAAAATATGAAATGATTTCAAAGGAATAGTACTTTTTCAATTCATCAGAACAAAGATCGTATCGAGTTTATTCTGCCTAGCTGTTCCCGGGTTATATGCGTCACCAGAGCCTCTGTATGACTCAGCTGACCTATTAATTAGAGTTCAAAATAGTTTTCTTACTATTTCGACTACAATAAAACTTAATATAGTCTTAATATCGTCACCAAGTTATTAATTTATATGAAGATATTTAAAAGTTAGTAATTCTTTTAAATTCTTGGTGTAATTAAAACGGTTTTAACTGACCGTACTTTATAGTTTTTAAAACATTAAAACAACTTTTCTTTTCATAATCCGTTGTTATTTCTGGATCGCACCTTTATTGGCACAAAACATAAACAGTATAGATCAGCAACAATAGGGATTGTAGAATGCTAATAGATTTGAAAGTAGTACCGAGTACATGTACAAGTCATGTTCTTTTACAAAGTGAACATATTACAATGACGCCAACTTCTATATAGTTCCCATTGTCTGTCAATTCTTTTTTATATACTTTACTGGTTTATATAATTATTTTACCATTCTACATTTTCTTTGAATGTTGGTTCTAAGAGGATATCTCTATAAACAAAACATTTTCCGTAACATTCGAGCATAGCGATGATCCCCATAGGACCTCTTCTCCTCGAAATATTCGTTAGTTTTTATTTTAAAAACACAACTTGACTAACCTTAATTCCTCGTTAATCTCCTTTATTATATCATCCTATCTAATCCACAGAGATCTTAAACCTGTGATCATCGATGCCTGGCTTGGATCACTGTATTCTGTAAGATAATACTGTAACACTCATATTGAGTAACGTGTGTAGAAGGTGTAGTATTTGCCGATTCTAAAAGGCTTTGTCTTACACATGTTACAAGTGTTCATTCTCTCATTATTATGTGCAAATAAATAAATGTAACAGATTACAGTTTGATTTTGAGAATTTGTCTATTTAATTTTTTTATGGCATTAAGGTTTGTGATTTGCAACACTTTTAATAGCTGTTTGTAATCTTTCTGAATTATGCTAATGAATTTGCAATACTCAGCGTAATGGAAGTAGCATCAGAATATTATGTCTATCTAATGGATGTCATGCCAGATTCGACTGACCATTGGTCATCACAATGCTGTAACTATCAGATGGGCTGGACTCTAATTACCATCTCCCATGTGGTGTAGATGATTATCCTAATTAACTACAATAACACTGTATACTTTACGGCGGACTGCACCATGATTATTGATATCGATGAAATTTCAGATGCTTCGTAATTCGTCATTCCAAATATATGTAAATTCCTAGTAGATAAGATTAAGTGTACAAACTAGGAGGCTCTGACGAGACGGCTCTACTATCTTACGAGATTGCATTAAACATGTAGCTAGCACCAGTATCATTTTCTTTGAATTCATCTTTCATACATATTTTGAATTTTGGTCAAATTGTCCCAAGTTTTAGTCAGGCCAGAATATCACAGCAGAACATGTAGCATTCATATAAAAGAATACAGCAGATCATTTGATTTTAATTGCTGTCATAAAGAAGAAGGAAGAAAATGAAAGAGAAACAATGTTACTCAATACTGTACACCGTATCAACAAACACATAGCAACCACTAGTAAAAATCTGCAGGAGAAGTAAAAGAAATTGGACTTTTTGCGATATATCAACAACTAGTGCAATAATACACATTTAACTGATGCATTTTTTTCTGTTTTTTTTTTCTGTTTAATGATTATTTAAACAGAGGTACTTTGAGCAATGAGCTCACAAAATGATATTCAGTACGGACATCCCGATTTTAAGTAATATAATACCATACCGCTTTTCAAGCGAGGGGGGGGGGAGGTAAATAATGTAAGCAGATTTCTTGACCTCATTCAATAGAAGAAAAGACAGGGAAAAGTTTACGCTGAATATTCAATAAGCAAAGAATTATAATATCTAGTCCTTAAATAGTGGATCCATTCAAGAACTTCAAATTGATTAAAACTAGAAGTACTCTGAGCACTCAGCTCACTAATAAAATGTTAGCCCCGCCTCCCATATAGTTATAATGGCAAAGTCCATGTTTTGCTTTGGGAGACCAGATATAAGAGTCAGATCAAAAAAGTAAAAAAAAAGATGCACAATGGCATTATGCAATTAAGAATCTGTGAAATTATAATTGAAATTAATTCAGTGATATAGGAGGAGTTGAGGATAAGAGATGGGTACCCTTCAATATTATAGAAAAAATAGCAATGTCCATGTTTTGCTATGGGAAACCCGAAATATGTGTCCGATCAAAACGTAAAAAGGTGCTGAATGGTATACTATGTAACAAAGATTCTGTGAAAGTTTTATTCAGTTTCATTCAATGGTATTAGAGGTGTTGCAGATTAAAGATACATTCAAGTACCTCAAAGCGGTACAGATGGACGGACAAACATCCCAATCAATATATATACAATCCGACTTTTCAAGTGGGGGTATAATAATGACAGACCTACGCTTGAATTACTCCGTTGTTTTGTTTTTTATTCCAAATTTCTCAATGAAAATTTTAAAACTTGATCAACAGCCACATGTATGACTGTCTAAATATAATAAAAGAAAATCTGCTTTAGACGTTAGATTTGTATGTATATAGATACATGTATATATTGGCAGAGAGAACAAGAGGTTACAATTTTTCAAACAAATACTAATTTGTGGACATTGAACATGCCGTACTGTAAATCAATATATTTTGGAAGGATAAAACTTTGGTGGTTTGAGTGGAAAACATAAGTTTGTGTGGATTTGGTTTCGTTGTTGAATATCAGAGAAACTGAGTTATCCATTATTTTATATTTCATTTATATACACGTATTGGACGACATAAGCCCCATTAAAATGAGTGATTTCACAGTATTTTAACCCTTTAAAAACCACTTTTAAGATTGATTTTCCAGAGAGTCAGTTTAACTAGGACTTAAATTAAAAAATATACAAATCTACATATATGACGTAGTCGGTACAATTTTGAAGTCTCGGACCAGGATATTACTAGGCACTTTTTTCTCTTGATCCGGCTGTTGGCCTCCAATGTACAGTCGGTAATGTCCTGAAAATAAAAACATAATGCAATTCTTAGGACAGCAATCAGCAAATATAAGCTTTGCAATTTAAATAATAATAAAAAATACAGATCTTTCAAAGAGCGTTTATATTTTCCAGAAGTATAGGAATTCAATGCTTTTGAACCTGGTTCTATCCAAAATTCTCTTGTGTTGCTCCAGACGGCCAAGTTATCAGAATCTACAGTAAAAACCCAACTCAGAGTTTCTCCATTATGCAGGTAAACTCGCCGAAATCCAACTAGCTGTTTCACTGGCATCTCTTCTTTAGTATCCAGCCATTTCAGATAGATCTGAATAACCTACATATAGATGGAGACTATTTAGATGGAAAGTCTCAAACCTTAGTATGTACCGTTCCAATCTTTAATGACTAGCATTTTAATACAAAGCTAACACACATTTTAATTATTTTTGACAACAAAAGAATTTACAACTTTAATTCATATCTACTTATGTTTAACACAAGTTTTTCAGTAATAAAATATTTTAGTACAATGACAAAACGGTTATTGAAAGAAAAAATATTAAACCAAGCGAATAGCTTCATTTTGTAGGGACATACCTCTTCTCCGTCCAGTGGCCCTAAATTGTGAACCTCTACACGAACCGTAAGGTTCTGGCCTTGCTCTATGATCGGGTTCAGCCAGGCGTTTGTATAGTTAAATCTGGAATAGGACAATCCATACCCAAATGGATACAGAGGGTTGCCATGGAAATACCGATACGTTCTGTTGGCCATGCTATAATTTACCATGGAAGGTATCTGGTGGATTAAATTATGTTATAAATAAAAAATCACGAATAAATAAAATAAAAACAAATCAATCAATCAATAAATAGATAAATTAACTGATTAAATGATTGAAGACAGACACCTGCTCCTTGTATTTCATCCACGTATAAGGAAGTCTTGCTGCGGGGTTTGAGAAGTTCCCAGTGTTTGTTAACACTCTCAATACAGCCTCTCCTGTTTCCTGTGCAGGGAAAAAGCATTCAATAATGGCCACCACGCGGTCGTTTTGATCCGCCCAAGTAATGTTCACGGGTCCTCCGTTGAAGAGAAGAAGGATAATAGGCACGGTATTTGCTACAGGTAAAAATTAGATAATAAAAGAATTTTCAATTGGAACTGGTTTCTACGAATTTATTATCATATTTATGTTCCCGAATTGATAGATCCGGGGCGTATATTGTTTTTGTCCTGTCTGTCTGTCTGTCTGTTTGTTTGTTTGTTTGTATGAAAACTTTAACCTTCGCAATAACTTTTGAACTATGAAAGAAAGAGACTTCATATTTGGTATGCATACTCCACTAATTAGGCTCTTTCAAATGACACCAAGGTCAAAGGCCTTGTGACCTTGACTTTGACCTATATGCTAAAAACAGCTTTTTATCTGCAAACTTTAACCTTCGCCATTACTTTTGAACCATGGAAGATATAGACTTCATATTTTGTATGCATACTCCACCAATTAAGTTCTTTCAAATGACACCAAGGTCAATGACCTTGTTACCTTGACTGTGACATGAATGCTAAAAATAGATTTTTCGTACCTTTGCCATAACTTTTGAACCATAGAAGATAAAGACTGCATATTTAGTATTCGTACTTCACTAATTAATTTCTTTCAAATGACACCAAGGTCAATAACCTTATGACCTTGACTGTGACTTGTATGCTAAAAATATTTTTTGGTACCTTTGCCATAACTTTTGAACCACAAGAGATAGAGACTTCATATTTGGTATCCATACTTTACCAATCAAGTACTTTCAAATGACAACAAGGTCAACGGCCTTGTGACCTTGACTGTGATATGTATGCTAAAACTACCTTTTTAATTTTTTTTCTTCAAACTTTAACCTTCGCCACAACTTTTGAGTCATGAAAGAGACTTCATATTTAGTATCCTTACTTCACTCATTAAGTTCTTTCAAACGACACAAAGGCCATTGACCTTGTGACATTGACTGTGACCTATATGCTAAATATAGCTTTTTTGAACCTTGACCATAACTTTTGAACCATGAGAGATAGGGACTTCATATTTAGTATGCATACTCCACTGATCAAATTCTTTCAAATGATACCATAGTCAATGACCTTGTGACCTTGACATTGACCTATATGCTAAAAATAGCTTTTTTGAACTTTGTGCCGCCGGGCGCATAGTGTTTCACAAACACATCTTGTTTTCTTATTTACATTTTATGAATATTGGAACCTACTTCCAAACGATCTATATTATTATTTTAAAAAAGCGTCAAAAGTTTGTGAACAGCTATGGTTATTGAAAGGTTTGGTACTTAACTCTATACTGAAAGCACTCCATCATGGTTAATCATCCCGTTTTAACACAAACTTTGGTCAGTTTTGGTTAAATTACAGATATAATCTGTTAGTGTAGCTCTCTAATCGTTCGTTCACAATTTCTTTATTTTTAAACAATTTTCAAACAATGAGTTAAAGATTTGCAGATCATACAGAAAGATTTACATTTTTCTGTCGAAAAGTTTGACAGTGTAAGAAAAATCCATTGTTGTGTACTTGATCAAATTACTAGTATCTTATTATACACCATGCACATGTAAATATCTAGATGTAAGAACTATTTTTTTGATAACTTAATATATATATTGTACCCGAGAAACTCAGCGCGTCCTTGAGAAGCTGTGACTGTTTTCCGGGTAGCTCCATACTGGCTCTATCATGGTCCTCGTTCTCTATCATGGGGCCTGCATTGAAAAAAAAATCTACTTATTATTAATTTTTCCTAATATCAATACAAGTAATGTATACGCCTACATAATCACGATTTGATACCAGTTCCAAGACAAACAAAGACGACTTCAGTGGAATTCATTGCTCTCTGTATGTCTGATCTGTTGTACGTTGTGCATGCGTTGTCGGTACATCCAGCTGCGTATTGTACGTTTCTGGAGAGCTTAGAGAGCCCTTGTAAAGGCGTGGTAGTAAAACCTGGCATAACATCCGGTGCATAGCTTCCTATTTGTTGGTATTTGTTGTCTGCCATAGGTCCGACTACCTAACAAATTTAAGATGGAAACATAAAGAACAAAATCTTCAGATTAACAAGTACCAAGACAATTTTTTTTTCATGATCAGATTTTTTATTCTTTATTTTCAGAAATTAGATTTATAGAAACAAATACGTACAGATATCTTGTTATAAACTGTATTAATTGGAAGAAATCCGTCCCTATTCTTCAGCAGAACAAACGACTTCATAGCAGCGGCTAACGATATTGCTCTATGTTCCTCGCTCTGGATCACTGAGAGATCCAGGAAGTTGTAGGGATTATACTTGGGCGGATCAAACTCTCCGAGGCGCATTCGGGTGTAAAACAAAGGTTTCACACTCCCCATTACCTCTTCCTTCTTCAGTTTGCCAGCTTTTAAGGCGTCGTCTTTTTACGTAAAAAAAAGAATTACTAGTTTATTATGTTTTTCAAAATTAAAGATTCAATGAGAATCTATTGAAATATGATGCATCTGAAAGGTTTTACACTAACTGATATAGAAGTAGGTTGGTTTGACCTCGTTTGTGGACAGTTCTAGGTTACAGCCGGCCTTGACACATAATGTAGCCGTGTCTATTGAGTTATTGGTGTAGTGATGATATGTCATAATGTTTTCTATTGCCTCCTGGTCACTGACGACGTATCCCGTGAACCCCCACTCCTTCCGTAAAATGTCCGTCAGCAGACGCTTGTTTCCACAAGCGGGGACGCCATTGATTCTGAACAATAATGTGTCGTCATTTACAAAAAGTACAACTACATGTATTCCACAGCATCTAGACTAAACTATATAAGAGAGTACATTAATAAGTAATCTTTGATGGTGTTACATGTAGTTGTTGATACTTTCAATTGTATAACTTGTAATTATGTAGAAAACCTTTAAAATAAAATGATGTAATGACACCTCATTTTGATGATTTCCCTGATTAAAAAAGATCATGTTTAAAACGTTGAGACATTAAAACTGTGGGTTCAATTCTAGAAAAATAAAACTTCCCCTCTAATTAACAATTTCTCGCTCTGTCATGCTAAAACATATGTAGCAGATGTTCGTTCAAGTTTTATTGTTATGAATTTTAGGTGGACAGCCACATACATGAACGATGTGGCAGAAAACAATTTTATACGGACTGTAGCTAGAAATATCTTTATATATAAAGTTGGGGGATACAAAATGTATCCAAACCTGTTGAAGCTGCACATTAAACTGTAGGATCCTGCTTGAACACATTTCTTAAACGCTGGTAAAAACGTCAGTCTCCAGTTCCGCTCAGATACCTTCATAACCAAGTAAAATTACTTCTAATTATTTGTTATATAATTTATAAGAAATCATAGTCAAAGTTTATTGCAGAATGACCTTAACTTCTTACTTTGGCATCGAAGGAGAATCTGGAGACGGGGATGTTCTCGGGACCGCCGTGCACGTCAAAGTGTTTACAGCCAGCATTAGCCCGGATGTAGGTGGGGTTATCGCCCTGTAAACATTTCACAAAACTTTCGGCCATCTTTCCGGATAAAAAAGGATCCTCCCCGTATGTTTCCTGAAAAAAAATGGGATATTCATCTTTATGGTTCCTTTTGGTTTCTGGTGGAACATAGGACCTCTGTACGTCCCTGCTAGTAATCAATTCTGATACATGTATATATCCCTGTGCTGAATTAATTTTCATTTAGAAACTAAAGAATGATAAAGTGAACCTGATTTCGGCCCCAGAGCGGATGCCTCATGATGTTTATAACAGGACTGAAACAGCTTATCCCCTTATGGTCTCCATATATTTTCCGTCTTTGGTAGTCGTTGTATTTGGCGCGCACCTCTATAGATGTCGCTTCTGCTACGTCACAGATAACATCCGTGCTAAATAACATGGGTGATGAATTTGAATTGTTGAACTCAAAAATTACAGAATTATATTTTTAATTCCCTCTAACAAAACAAATCACAAGAATTAAGGTACGCACTTACACAATTATACAAGCACAATTTTCATATATTATTGATAGCACAATTTTCATATATTATTTTCATTCAATATTAAATATACATCTTTTATTCAATAAAAATGTAAAGGTTTTCTTACGTTCTTTGCAGGAAACGATAAAATAGGCAAATGTTAGTTGTTCTTGAAGAAATATATTTTAAAAATGAAATATATTCATTTAAGCAGGTCAAATATTATTAATTCTTTTGTTTGCCATCTGAAAACACTTTATTTTCGGTATATATATGCAATGCACCCTCTTTGTGGAGAAACAAATGAAAATAAAATCATACAAAAAAGTGTAATGCACATACACGTTCATGCGTTTCACTGCTTGTACGAAAACAAATTTTTGACATGCATAACTCACTATAACTACCTGAACGTTGCAGCTAGTCCTAAAGTCTGCGGAAAAGAAGTGGCATTACCAGCGTATACGTCGCCTCTCAGACATTCTGTATTCCAACTAAAAGGACCTATTCCTAACCGGGGGATGGCGGGGGCGGGACTAGCCCGGGGCCCCGATCCTCCCCGACTCATTTGGACCACGATCTCCTGGACGGTCAGCCTGTTTACGAGGTCCCCAACTCGGACATCCCAGGGGAGGGAGGTGTTACGGAAGGGATACTCCTGTAACTGTACGTGGTGGAAAACGAGGACCAGAAAAAAGTAAACACTCAATGTAGACACCATTTCCGTAAATAACCCACGTGAATTTACTGTAAACCAGTTTTAGACATTACACGCATTGATAATTACTTTCTTTTGTTTACACATGGCTGATTCATGCCGGATTGTTTCAAATGCGTTAAGTATTAATACCTTGTATCCTCTAAACAAGTGCATATATAGATCCGTGCCCTTCAAACTGGCGTTTAATGGTATAGAATTAATAAATACGAATTAAAATAATTACTAAATAAATATTAGTTTCAAATGTCATTTCATAAATAAATAAAAATTTATAAATAAATAGAAAATAAATGTTAATATATATTGATACTTTTGTTCTCGATTCATATATAACTTGCTCTCCACTTACAAATCGTCAAATGTTAAATTGGAAGATAGATATTATCAACAACTCGATGTAAACTGAAACATTTGAAGTAAAAATCATTAATTTTATATTAGATCCAAGATGGACTGATAAAAATTGTACTTGTGTACTGAATAGATTTTTATGAAAGTATTTTAGTTCACTTACAATTTATTTTGGGACAAACATACATTAAGTGAAATGTTGAATATTATAAAAACTTTGATGTCTTAATTTATCAAAATATTTCTATTTAAACGTTATACATAGAAAATCATAATTCAAGCAAAAATTGATCGTGTAAATTTATTTCCTTATTTCATTATGTTACTTTATTTCAACTTAAATGACAGCATTATGTAAGCAAACAGATCAAGGTTTATAACTAAACCAATCATTACTTTGTCTCGACAAATAAATATGTATGTTAACAATCAGTAGAAAGCTAAATACTTCACAAAACTAACATGGAAATTATTATATAACCATGCGACAAATGTTAAAAACAAATCTTTATAAATAGTACAGATTGTCATACATTGCACAGCCATCGGACATAATACGTGACATATCAGGAAAGAGACAGTTAATTTTTACATGGTCCAAGGTAGCCTTCTTTCACGTTGCTGTAAAATTAAATTATTATCATTAAACAAAAGGTTTATCTGCAGAACTTCCACAAACATTACTTAAGGTCAATGGACCCTTAAAGAGGCACAACTATCAGTGGGATTTATAAAAATATGTAAAAACACTGGGAACAGTAACAAACTGCTTGATTTTACTTATGATCACTTTAATATAGCATATAAACTTTTAAAATATATATAGTGAGTTTCATGTTTTCACTGGTATTGTAATAATTCTTTTTTTTTTTTTGTAAACTGTGAAAAAAGATGCATTTGTAAAAAAAGATGCAGAAGTTACAACATAGAATGGATAGAGAAATGCTGGAAAATAAATGAACTTACTGACAATGCATCAGACATTGATTGTCGTAGGTTTGTCCATCTGCTCCACACACCGGGTTATAGATGTGAGGACAGTGGCAGGACGGCGAGGGTGTTGTTTCGCAGACTCCTTCATACGCTAAGGTAGCTTTACTAAACAATTGCAATAAAAGAAACAAATTGTGGTTAACGTATTTGTATCTATATCCTTCAACATTCGATACTTACATGTAATCATTTTTATTGCATTATTTTCTTATATATGTTAAATGGGGTTTATTAAAGATTGATCTCTATATATTAAACATCTCTAATTTTGTTTTTTATGTTTAAATGTCATGTTTTTTTTTTGTAGAAAGTTTGCAACTATCTTTAGCAACATCCACCTAACCCCGCTGAGAGCTACACTCGTTCATAAGAGAAGTTTTGTTATCGAATGAGAAAAAAAGAATCTCTTGACAGCAAACACAGTAATGCTACTAACTGGCACATCATGAGACATTCGTTGGCATATGTTACGCCGTCACTTCCACACATTGGGTAGTACATGTTATTACACATACATATGGGTCCTTCAGCTGCCGCCGGCGCGGCCTCCAGGCACTCCCCGTCGTGGGCCTTACCAACAGCTCTGTCAAGAAGACAGATTTATTAACCATTCAATTATGGAAAAGGATCATTGAAAACTATTCTTTAAAAAACTCTCAACATACATGTACAGTGTATTTTATAAGTGGTGCTGCTTTTTTAAACAAAAGTCCAGACAATCTTTGCTACATTTACTGAATTTGCTTTGGCAAAATGGATGCATTTTGTATGCATATCTGCTACATTTACTGATTTTACTTTGGCAAAAAGGAGGTATTTAGAGTCATACGTATCACAGACTTACGCGCAGTTTAGGAGACATTCGTTGTCATAGGTCTTGCCGTCTTTTCCACATACTTTGTTTAGGATTCTTGGGCATGCGCACAATGATTGCTTACACTCTCCGTCATGTAACTTGGAGGCCCCTCTGAAATGGAATCGAGTTGCACTTATTTTTTTTTATTTGAGTTTACCTTGATGAGATAAAGATTAGTTTGCATTTTTTTCGCTTCAATGAATTGGGTCATTTTTAATTTTTAAAGGGTAAAAGTTTTACATTTGCCGTTAAAGGATTGTTATCGTTAAATAAATGCAAAACTCTCTAAATGTTTGTAAAATTGTATTATTTACAGTTTATTTTGTAGATCTATGTGGTTTACAAATAACTGCCATACAGTCAGATTCAAATATTTTCCCAGAAATACCGTAAGTATTCTAATAATATATGTTCAGGTAGCATTAAAAAAATGAACTTACGCGCACTTAAGAACACATTCGTTATCATGAGTTTTTCCATCGTCTCCACATACAGGAAGAAGGATAAGTGGACATGCGCAGACTGGGATACTTCCACATTCCCCGTCATGGGCTTTTGTCCAACCTCTGTATAAAACAATATGTAATCAGTGTTGATTATTTGAAACTTAAATGTAAGCTACAGTTGTACGAGTCTAAATTATAGCCTACATGTAAATAGGCAAATTAAGGGAACTCACGTGCAATTCAACAGACATTCGTTGTCATAGGTTTTATTATCATTACCGCAAACCTGCTTAATCATCAGTGGGCATGCGCAAGCTTGACTTCCGCACTTCCCATCGTGATATTTAGCGGCTCCACTGTACAAAAAATATGATATGAAAGAATGTTGTACTTTTTGTATTTTGTAGTTGTTCATCCGATAATCGTAAGTCTAATGTATTCATCTTTTTTGACACCTTGTTTAATGATTTGCTCATTTTGTGAAGTAAAAACATTCTTATATAAATACTCTTCCCTACTAAAAAAAAACCTCTATACTTCGTTGAGTACTGTTGTGTGAGTGCCGAGTATAGAATAAAATTTGTAGCTATCCACTGGCAAGTGGCTGCGTCTCCATACCAGTGAAACATTCTCGAAAGGGATATTAAACAACACACAATCAATCAGTAATTACAAGTTACAAGTATTTACATGTACAATATATCTTTAGACTGCGGTACTTACGCACAATTCATTTCACATTCATTATCGTACGTCACGCCGTCCTTTCCACATACGGGTTCTATATCCAGTGGACAAACACATCCGGTGCTCTTGGACTCCACTGTATAAAGAGAAGAATTGGTTACATGTACAGTAGGTTTCCTGTTGAAATATTTTATATTAACCAAATATTGATTGGTTGCTATAGACTGGCAATGGAAAAATTAAAAACTCGCGACGTAACCAGAATGTAAATTTAGTTACATGTAATTTACAGATCTATCTGATAAAATAATAAATTAAAAGTTAAACGTCATATGATAAACAGTTAAAAGGAAATACAAGAAAACAGAGAGAGAGAGAGAGAGAGAGAGAGAGAGAGAGAGAGAGAGAGAGAGAGAGAGAGAGAGATTACCTGAAATCAAAATGCTAACAAGAATGCTGAGGGTGAGCAACATGTCGAAGGTCTGATGAAAAACTGATGTATCTAGATAAGAAACTTTTATATACTTTTCTAGATTTGGGAGTGCCATCACGTGCCTATCCCCGATATCCGATTTGTCAAATGAAATGCAAACTTTCCTATTAAAAAGAACAGTTTATTCGATTTAAAATGTCGTAAAATTCTAAATAATATGTAAATCATGGGAATTGTAAACAAAAGAAGTCAACATTAGAAGCTTTTATGATAATAACAGGAAACATGTTTGATATAATAAAACAGTTTTATAGTTTGTATAGTTTGTTTGAAGAGAATGCAAAGGAAATATTACGGAGTATTTTTATTTCTAAATTTTTTTTTATTAATTTACGTATTTGCGCATTCAGTAAAACCACATCTTAAGTAAATGAAAACAGTGTAAATGTGTTTTTGACCAAGTCTAGTTAAAAAAAAAAAAAAAAAAATAATAATAATAAATAAAAAATAAAATAAAATGACGTACAGAATTAATGCATTTCTTGCTCAAACCCAGTAATAAAATAACCTTTGAAAGTATTGAAGATATAGCGAAAAGAAATTTTTGTACAACATTTAAACCTTCAAAAATAAATAATTTTTTTTTTCAAATCAAATTTAACGATATTTTATCTAAAAATACTCAATAACACTTTTTAAAATTTTTTTCTATTTATTTTTCAATTATGAGTTACTTAGTATCTACATGTACGAGACTCGAAAGAAATGGTTCTCTTCGGGGTTTTTTTATTTAGTAACAAAGAAACAACAAATAAAACGGCGGAGATGAATATAATTATATTACAATTACATGTAAAGATGATATTCTAATAATACAATTTTGTGTCGTGCAGAATGTGTCGATGATATGGATGGAAAGAAAAAAAATAACGAAAATTCCATCTATACCCGAAGCAAAGAAATTAAATTGGAAAATATTATCAGTAATAAAGGTTAACCAAATATTCAAAACTACTCATAGTCAAATGCTCTTCGTTTTCAACTACTTGAAAAAAAAACTTGAAGCACTTAGATTGAATAATTCCATGAATATCTAATTGCAAATTGTAAAATTCAAATGAAATATAAGAGTGGTACATCAATGTCACATCACGATTTTTTTTTATTTCTTCAATAAACAAGCAAGAAGTGATGGCATTTTATATTTTACAACTCAAGGACGAATATCCACTGACAAGACATAAAAATACGATACCATAAAGATTGCGATAAAATACTTCTCCTTGAATGCTCTTAACGTTGTAGTTTAAATCATATTGCATATGTATCTGAAAATGACAAAAAGATATTTTGAATGTTCTTAAAAGCAAAGCAATCGTAACAACACAAGGAATACATATTAAAGTAATTTTAACCATAGAAGACTATAAAAAAAGAGTTACTTCTAGAAAAAACTTCAATAATGTTCACGGCTGAAAATTTAATACTTAGTATTTTCTCCCCCAAACAGCAATTTATTCAACATTGACACTCTGAATACATAAAATTATAAAAATACTAGAATGCCATGTATTCTCAATAATGAAGTCCTTTTGTTGAGTTATGAGAAGATTAATTGATTGATTGTATATTGTTTAACGTCCCTCCCGAGAATTTTTCACTCATGGAAACGCCACCACTTGCCGATGGAGAGCTGCAAAATTTGTCCTATACTCGGCACTAAGGGCCATTGAGCAGTGAGGGATCTTTTTCGTGCCAGCACCTACTGCGACACGAGACCTTGGTTTATACGGTCTCATCCGAAGGACCGGTCTCCATCTCCCACAGTGGGATTCATACCAGCGACGTAAGGATTGACTCCTTACTCCGCGACTCTAGAGCAGACGACTTAACCACTGCGCCACGTGGGCGACAGTTATGAGTAGAAGATCATCCTTCATACACCGTACCTCTAACCGAGAGATTCTATGTGGTGTAGTTTTCCATATGATACCCATTACAATACTGGACATACAGATGTTTCATTCAGATATTTTCTGACCATTATATGTCTTGAAGATGCCTTTAAATATGAAACTTCAGAAGTTTTAATTGATCAAATTCTGCTCAATGGTTTATATAACAGTTGATAAGAGTTTCCATGTTATTTTAATTGAACCGATTATTTTGGCTCCCCGACACCTTGTACCTTGTATTTATAAAGAAATCGATCAATATAAAAATATAAACAAATCCATGTATACTATTAGAACATATATACAAAGTCATGTATATTTTTAATTAAAAATATTTCGGCTTTTCAGTTTGTATTTACGAAGATTTTTTCCCCCTAAGAAGTATAATATTTACAAAGCCCGAGATAAATATTGTACTTCGAAGTTGGGGTCGCCCTCGTGGCGCAGTGGTTAGAGCGTCTACAGTCGCGGAGGAGTTGATCCTTACGTCGTGGGTTCGAATCCCACTGTGGGACGTGGAGACCTGTCCTCCGGATGGGACCATGTAAACCGATGTCCCGTGTCGCAGTAGGTGCTGGCACGAATAAGATCTCTCAGTGCTCAATGGCCCTAAGTGCCAATTATAGGACAACATTTGTAGCTCTCCATCGGCAAGTTGTGGTGTTTCCATACGAGTAAAAAATTATTGTGAGGGACTTTAAACACCATACAATCAATCAATCGATGACAAAGTACTATCGTTTTGTGAAAACAGCAATGATCGTATTAGTATAGGATTTTTTAAAGATGTAATGACACAATGTGTTCCATAGGCACCTAATTACGTTTTACTTCTGCTGAGGTCCAATCCAAATGCAATGAGAGAAACTATATTATGTTTTATTCATCGTCGAAACCATAATCAAAATGTACGTTACTTTCCCAGGAGAAAGCTATCAGTGGGTTCCGAACCGTAGCTTGAGACCAAAGTGACTTGTTTCGTGTACGGGCAAATAAGTAGGGCTACCCCGTAATTGAAATATCCCTGTGCCTGAGACGATGAATTAAAAAAATCAAGCATACCAGTTTTATTATATGATTGAAACATTCTTATAGCCGCCCGTCTGGCGCAGTGGTTAGAGCGTCTGCTTTATAGTCCCCAAATAGGGAGTTGATCTTTACGCCGCGGGTTCGAATATCACTGTGCGACATGAAGACCGGTGCTTAGGATGAGACTGTGTAAAATGAGATCCTCAGTCGCAGAAGGTACTGGCACAAATAAGATCCCTTATTGCTCAGTGGCCCCAAATGTCGAGCATTTGGACAAACTTTGCAGCTCTCCATCGGCAAAAAGTGGCGTGTCCATATGAGTGAAAAAATTCTCGAGAGGAACGTTAACAACACACAAACTATAAAAAAAACCCCGAAACATTCTTATTTTTAAGAGATCAACCAATGTAAGAAACATAATGTTATCTCATTTTTTTCAACTTCCTGAAAATTAATATTTCCTACATTGGACTAAAAATAGATAGCCTGGTCCTGATTTTTAAAAAGAAGGCTAGAAATAAGTTCTAACGGCAAATAGTTATTATTTGGTCCAGCATAGTTTTTTAACCTATTTCGAGTATGCTGAATCCGAAAAAAATATGCTGGCCTTCATGAAAATGGCGTTAAGAAGGTCAAAATGGCGATTCAAAATGGCGAACACCAAATTTTTCCAAATTCTCCGTTAAAGCTGTTCAATCGAGAAAATGATGCCGGAATAGCCATGTATATACTAATTTTATATAACAACATTACTAACATCTAGAAATGAAGCACTTAAGTTAAAAAAAAATCAGCCGTTTCCTCCAAAAATTCGAATTTTCTCTGTTTTTTTCATCTTTCATTTTTCTGCTATACTTTGTTAAGGATGTTTGCATGCATGCATGTTCATACACTTAGATTTGTTCTTTTGCGTGAATTCGTACTTCAAAGAACAAAATATATATTTGAATTCAATTTTTAGGCGGAAGCCGCCTATTGCATTTACTTTGATGACCTTTTTACCTCTCAAGATGTCAAAGGTCAATTTTGCCCTCTGACATGGTACTCCAAACGGATGTATCTTAAACTAAGGGCATACAACCGCTACTCATATTCAACACCCTTCCCAATCTTTATCGTTATTATCATATCAAAAGCGTGTGTTATGGCTGAATTTATTTGAACAATTTATTTTGATTAATATAAAACAAAGTCCAATAAAATAATAGCCTAATAATAAAACTAATAGTTACTTTAGTACTCCTGATACGTTTCACGTTTGAGAGAGCTCTGTATGTTTAAAACAAAAACAAATGGGGTTCAACATCAAGGGGTCCTGAAGCGATGTTTAGAAACATTACGAGAGACAAAATAGTTCAAGTAGGTATTATTGTATCTAAGAATTAATGACAGGTACATGTATACAGCTACTAATGAACTAATCTTTTAAATAATCTATTGGAAAATAGAAGAAAAGAGGTATGTAGTTCATTTTATCAATTGTTTATTTATACTTAAGTACTACTTCCGCGTAATAATCTAACATGAGACGATTCAGCGTGAAATTATTGTAAACAAACCCACATGGAGTACAAATGATTTACAATGGAAGTGACAGGCTTCTCTTCAACATAGCAAGGTAACGCACGTTGTCTGATTAGCTTATCTTTCATTGTAACCTTTATCTTTATTGTTTTAACTTGAAAATGTCGCCTCCCTATGCAGACATGCTTTAATTAGATATCGTAACATGATACCTGTTTTGGTCGGTCTTGATCGAACGAACTGATACTGTATCTGCATATAATTTCATGCATGCCTGGGAGAAATTATTTGAGGAATAATCATGCCGAGTCTGTGTATACATTTATATATCCTGCATTTAATGTAAATATGTTGAAGGATGGACCAAAGCTATGAAAATTGGACAGTTTCAAAAACACAATTTTAGTCAGTATAGATGTGTCCCTACGGAGGCAGCTAACAAAGAGCGGGATAATTAACATTGCATGGTGAATATGTAGAAATTTTGCTCTGTGTCATCTCTATAAATAAGAAAAACTCAACTCAGCACAACCGCAGTCAGATACACTATTCTAATGATTCTGAAGCTGAGTACATGTATATTTAAATCAATTCAATATATTTCAAGTGGGATAAGTGTCATAAG